TCAAATAAAAAGCAGTCCAACAATACACGCAATAAAGTTACAGTGCAGGACAGCATTTATTAAGGTATTTTATTTAAATAAAGCAAGCTGATCCAATGAGGTGGGAAACTGCAGCATGTTGAGTACATTTGCAATATTAAACAAAGACATATTGTTTGAGTGGTCAGTCCAATTATAAATATTGCTCGTTACATTTTGCACCCATGCAAGCAACGAAGTAAAGCAACTTTACAATTTCTATTAACATTGTCTTAAGACCAGACATCTACTTGTCCACAATTTAGAAATTAAGGGAGGCATTCAGGGCATATATGAAAGGCACAAATATTGGCTCAGATCACATGACCATAGAATTGTTACATCCCTGAGTTGTGCAATAATATAATTACACATTCTGTAATCTTGTTGACTATAGCACATAATACTGCTGGGATCCAAGCACAAAAACAACTGATAATACAAATCAAGAGAATACCTTACATAAGCTTATGAGACCCCAGAACATTGGAACTAAGGCAGTCTGAGACTTTGAAACCAAACGCAGAGCTGGGTAAAAGGATGGAGATAAACGTTATAAATCTGAAATAGAAGAAGAAATCTCCTAAAGTGTACAATTAGGATTTTTTTTTCTGAATGATTAAACAAGACGCAAATATTCAACTACCCTTAAAATCCAAATGCTTTTACTGACCAGTTGTAGATTCCAGCATTTTTAGTTGTCAGGAGCAAGCAATTTTTCTATTTCTGGCCAAAACATAAAGGAGCAGAAATTGGTCTCCACATTGGCAGCTGGTGACTGTCAAATATCCAAAGCACTCTTATAAAATTGACATTCGACCCCTTGAATCTATGATCAGGACCTTAATGTTTGTTTCAGCATACAGCTATCAAACTTAATGTTAATGCTGGTAATAAGCACCACTCGAGGAATTGCTGGAAGCACCTGATGAATAGTTTAAAAAACAACTTTCCTAACTTTATGTGTAACCAGGAACATTCACAGCACACAAGTGCCAGGCAATGACCATTTCCGATAAGACAGAACCTAATCACTGCCCTTGACATTTAATGGTATTAGCACCACTGAATCCTCCACTATCAACACTTTGAGGGTTACCATTGATCAGAAACTGGACTGGACTAGACATAGGTTACTGTGGTTATAACAGCAGGTCAAAGGCTAGGAATACTGCAGGGAGTAACTCGTCTCCTGACTCCCCAAAGCTGAGCCACAATCTGCAAGGCACAAATAAGAAGTCTGATAGAATACTCCCCACTTGCCTGGATGAGTGCAGCTCCACCAACACTCAAGGAACTTGACATAATCCAAGACAAAGCAGCTCCTTGATTGACACTATATGCACAAACATTCAGTTTCTCCCCACTGATGTGCATTGGCAGCAGAGTGCAGAATCTACAAGGTACACTGCAAAAATTCACCAAGGCTCCTTAAACAGCACCTTCCTGACCCATAACCACTCCTACCTCGAAGGACACAAAGGCAGCAGATACAGGGGATCGCCATCACCTGCAAGTTTCCCTCCAAGCCACTCAACATCCAGACTTAGAAATATATCACCATTCTTTCAGTGCTGTGGGGTCAAAATCCTGGAATATCCTCCCTCATGGCATTGTGAGTGTATCTGCAGAGAACTGCAGAGATTCAAGACAGCAGCTTACTACCAGCAACACCCATATCCAACAAGTGAATAAAAAAAAGGAGATTCTTCTCATGGAATCTGGGATTTTGCTTGTGAAGTTGAAATGTTTAAGGTTAATTCTAGGATTTGGAAGCCGTGCATTGCCCTCCTTACACAAACAGACAGACGGACACACACACACACTTGCATATGGTTGGTGTGTTTCTAAGACTGGTTATACTGCACGTTTCCTACAATCTGATTGATGATAACTCCTGTACAGTGAGAGATTGTTTGAAACATGGAACAATAATGTGGAAACCTTTTCTGGTTTGTCGTGTAAGAGTCATGGAACAAATCTGGCAGTGCTTCTCTACCACCGTACTGCGTCAATGCTGGCCCAGGCTCACACAACTTTTAATTTCCCACCCTCTCCTACCCCTTCCATCCCCAAGGTCTTAATTGCAAGATGCTCCATTGGCATCCACTGCTTCCCAGATTTTTGCAGCTAAAGGCCTGGGGCCCAATTTGCAGAAAATGTTGGATCAACATCTTTGGGTGCACTATCCAGGTGTGACGTCTGATTTACACTAGCTTCTGTCTCATCACCAACGTATATCTTGTAAGGTTTTAACTTTCCTACAGCCAATCCTATTAGACCAACAGGATGTGTAATTTTCAAACTCCTTTGCCCATTCAGAATGTTTTTGAGGATTTAAGAAGTTTAAACTTCTTATTCTCCTCCCTCAAAAGTCAATATTCATCCATAAGTCTGCTGTTCACATCCCATCCCACAGCAAGTTCCAGACAACAATTACTGCTGCCCCTTTCAATGTACCTTGGCTACTGACCCCAAGTACCTCCAATAAAAATGTTTATCTTAAAGCTAAAGCAATTCCACTGCTTGACCCACCTCCTCCAGCAATACAACCTCCTCCATCAGTAACGAATGTTCCATTCTTCTGGCTCTGATCCTCTGTGCATTCCTCCCTCCAACTCCTATCCCCACAACATCTTCAGTTCTGGCATTCATTCCCTGAGACACCTATTCCTATTTTTTGAAGTCTTTTCTTAACAGTATCCTCTTCAACTAAGCTTTTTGTCATTTTTCCTTAAAAAAAAGCCCAAAATCTGCAGATGCTGGAAATCAGAAACAAAAACAGAAATAACTGGGAAATAGCTTGAGTTAAATAATTTTAGGAACTGAGGACCTTCTCCCATGTCCATAACCCAACCCTACACACCAAACCTTGTCATCACATGGGCTGCTGCCTCAACCAACCCACGGTCACTTACTAATAGTCCCCATTAGCAGTGATTGATTCCACCAGTCTGACCTTCCCGTTCCTCTCTCTGCCCAACTGTTGTTCTCTCTCTAGGCTCTATCTCCACCTAGTTTACTCCCCCACCCCATCTTCAGCATTTGTACCAACCTTTTCCTAGCTACAATCAGTTCTGAAGAAGAGTCACTGGACCCGAAACATGAACATTGTTTTCTCTCCACAGATGCTGCCAGACCTCCTGAGATGTTTCCAGCAATTTCTGTTTTTTTTTGTTTTTTACCCTTGGTTTGGCATTCATTGTTTTCTGAACCTTCCAGTAGTGCCTCCAACCACCCCCACCTGTGAAAGGCACTATACAAATGCAAATAGTTGTTATCGATTATACATTCATATTAACCTCCTATGCCTTTGCAAACAAATGGCATACATATAGACGGGACTGAGTTTTAGAAATTACAAATGTGTCTATCCTACTCAAATGAGCACAAGGCAGGCAGCCAAGGGGCTGAGCTGAATAATAAGAGGAAGATAAACGTCTTGTATTCAGTTAAACAAATTTATTTTCACTTTAAACAAGTAGGAATTCACACCTTGCAATGTACGGTTATGTGATGACAGTATTTCGCAGCTTCAGAAGCTGTATGTCAGTATTAGCAATATACCCTGACTTTGCACAAGCGTAGTCACGACTCGCAAGAACAAATAAATTCTGCCAGACCCTATATAAAAAAAGAACTCCTGACAAATGGCTATGCGACAATGAACTTATGTTACTGTCCGGAGAGTTTCAGCTACTTTAGATGCCTTGTTAATGAACGAAATAAAATGTAATAAAAACATTTTCGCTGCTATTTGCTATAAAGCCATCCTTGCGGCGCCCCCTTCAGGCAGCATCCTGTACTACATCACCTGACTGATAATAGAATGAACTGCCCCAGCAAGAATATCACAGATTTTACCTCATCTCTAAAAGTCAACATTTGCTTCTATTACAAGACACCCAAGGTATTTGGGTGTTTTCAACAGTGCATATTCAGTAAGTCCCTCAAATTTTCTTGCAGTTGAAGGTTAATGGCTTTGATCCTAAGAAAACTGTCTGCATAAGTTATTGCTTTTCCTTGTCTATTACTGGGGTCCTCTCTTCCTTTTCTATAACTGGACAAATGTTTGGTGGGAAATTAGTCAACTCCGTCAAGCGGCTCTAAAATCCGTGGGATAGATAGATCACCGATTAACACATGTATAGGTGGATGCCATCGACGACAACATGCAAAGAGATTAAACTATTTTGCACACTATTGGCAGTGTGTTACCGTTTTAAACTTGGGTAGATTGCAAAACTGTGCGTCATTTATTTGAAAATTAACTGTATCTATACTTAATACAAAAACTGTCCTGGCATTTCATATTCCGATTACCATTCACCCGCGCAGTGTACCACGGAGAAGCTTGCAATATATTTACAAACAATACAGAGTTATACTCAGTCATTTTATCAAATTGGTTCATATATGAAGGACAATCCATTTGTTAATTCAGCTACACTGCTGTGTGTTTTTTTAAATTTTTCCTAATGATTGATGATCCGGAGCATTTGGGAGTTCCATGCTGCTTGGTATACGTTGCTAAACTCTCATTCTGCCAGAACATAGGGACATAAGGTCTGGCGTCTTAAAATAGCAAGGTATGTTAGAACCTCAGCCACAGCTCCCGCTTCCAGGAGTTTAAGCCTAACTGTCCCCCTGCAAACAAAACCAAATAAAAACAGCCAGCCCCCATTTTCCCCACAACCCAGCAAAATACGTGCAAGATATAATTCACCTTCCCTCAGACTAAACTCCAGTGGTAAGGAAGCAGTTTCCTGATGGAACTGAGTGGTGAGTTTATGAAAACATCGTTCACATGCTTTAGACCGGAGACTGCAGTTATTTTTACAGATGCTAATTCTGCTGTGAAAGATCAGGCAACAAGCTCTGTCTGATATATCAGCGGATGGCTTTCCTGGGCGATTTTTGTGCGTGTGTGTGTGTGCTACAGTTAGGTGTTAGATGACAGAACAAGGGTGGGCTCTACTTACCAGCCGGAGCTGGATTGAAGTTCCAATAGAATAATCCTCAGGATCGCAGGGTAGTCTCTGTACGTCTCGCCAACTCTATACAGGATCTGCAAAGTGAATGGATATTCCAGGTTAAGGACTGCCTCTCACGCTGTACCTCCCGGGACTGTGCAAGCTGCACTAGACTCTGTCGGTTTTAAGTTTAGGGCTGGGAACCCTGTCAGGGAGCTAGCAATCAACACAAGAGCATCATCGAGAAAAGGAAAGCCTCCCGCTTCCTGTTACATCACTCTCAGCCCGCCTTCCACTCGCTATCATGTCCCAGAATCTAAAAGCGTTCATTCGGAAACTCCTTGTGCTGCCGATTTGCAGTCTCCCTCACCCAGAATGGGGGATAAACTGAAAACTGCATGCTGTTATACTGTCGTTAACACGTACCTCCAAGCCTGCACTCCGATTCGAGATCAGTAGAACTGCACATATAGTCAGAGCAATAAACTTTACCATTTTCTGAAACAAAATTACATTTAAGCAGAAAAGCGGTTTTTCAAAGACGCACGTAGGGATTGGGAAACTGTTAAGGTGCTTCTAATGGACATGGATTAGACAGCGGGACCAATATAGAGCTGGGAATACATTTGATTACAATTCAGAAGTGATCAAACATCATAGATATACCGGCTCGAACAATCAAAGTACAAATATAGGGAGCTAAATAGGCTGAAATGTGGACTAAAAGATGTAAAAAAGTACAATCGTTTTGGGAGGGTGTTTGTTGAAGTCCAGTAAGTGTGAATTCTTTTAGTCTTTTCCAACTTTGTGAAAGAAGACTATTTTAAGGGATATATTGCAGGAAAAGAATCCAACCTGTTTCACATTGGGAAATAGATACCAAACTCTCAGGACTGTTCTAATTCCAGTTGTTGCTATTCAACATTAGCGAGAATACGCAAAGACAGTTAATATTTAGCTGTGATTGCGAGAGCTGGCATTCGGAAGCCCCGAGGCGGCTCTCCGATCTGTTACTCACGAGTTAATAGTTGACACGTTCACTGCCGGTTTAACAGAACGGTGACTGGACACAGAGCTCATTGATCCTACACTCTAAACCAGTGAAGAGACTGTGCTGTCACCCTGGCAAGAACAAATACATTACACTAAATAAAACCACGCCTCACTGAACATCGATAGAAATTCCAGCAAACCAAAAGAGCATTTCACAATCGCGTTTAAAGAAATTACAAAACTTTGCCTCCCTGTGTGCTCAATCAGATCATCGCCATTCCGAAACGACAACTTGGACTTTCTGCCATTGGACTGGTGGATGTGAACTAATCAGTGGGAGTTAATCTCTCCCCCTCCCCATTACTCCCAGTCCATCTCTCCCAGTGCCCAGCGCTCCTCTCTCCCAATGCCCCTCTCTCCTGTAACTTCCTTTCTCAATGTTCATCTATCTTGATGTTCAAGACGTCCAATGTTCATCTCCCACTGTCTTCCCTCTTTGTTGGCGTCCATCTCTCTCTCCCTTTATCAATCTCCTTATGTGTATCTTTCTCAATATCCATTTCTCTCAGCGTCCATCCCTGTGTGTCCATCTGCTTCCGTGTCAATCTCCCTCCTATCTTCATCTCTTTCGGTGACAATCTCTCCTGCTGCGTATCTCTTTCGATGTTCAACTCTCTAAATCTATCTCTCACGTGTCCATTTCTCCCAGTGTTCATTTTCCGGTCGGCCCATCTTTCCCTCCAGTGTTTATCTCTCTATATTTTGCTCGCTCAATCCATCTCTTTCATTGTTTATCTCTCACAGTTTATTTCACCCAGTATCCCATCTTTCCAAGTGTCCTTCTCTCCCAGTGTACATCTCTCTCAGCCTTCATCTCTCCCAGTGTCCCTCTCTCTGGATGTCCATGTCACCAGTATCCATCTCTATGTGTGCACATCTCTCTCAATGTTCATTTCTCTGGGCATCCATCTTCACAAATCCATCTCTCTTGATGTCCATCGCTCTCAATGTCCATCACTCCCGCTCCCTCTCTCTCCACCCAGTGTATTCCCCCTGTATCCGTCCTAGTATCCATTTTTCCCAGTGGCTGCATCCCCCAGTGTCAATGCCTCTTTCTGACTATCCTCCCGGTGGCCATCTCTCCTCTCACTCGCCCCTGTCTCCGTCCCTTTGCTTATTGTTGACCTAGTTTTTCAGCTCGCATCGAACTGATTGGCTCACTGTTTCCAGTTGAACCTCTCTAAATACCCAATCCCATTCCAATAACAACGTCCAAGGGAATGTCGACTAAACTTGGAAAATGCTTCTGCTCCCGAACCTCGCGTTCTTGAAATCAGCGTGGTTTTCGAGTGTGCCAGAATGGCGAATGATCGGGACAAAGCTGTACAAACAGTGTTACCGGTTGTGGCAAGAATTTGAAGAGGGATTCATGCAAATAGCCTGCATCATTCGAACACATATCGAAAAGGATACTGCAGCGCATAAGCAGGATCAGAGACAGTATCAAAAGGTTCCAGTCTTAAATGCTATCCCTTCCACAGTTACAATGTGTGACATCAAGATTTGAACAGTTCGAATTTTATTTGAGTTACTTTTGGATGCTGTGTCTATGCTAAACTACATAAACAGTACGTTCGTGTAAAAATCGAGTACATGAAGCAATATGACGTGTCCGTACGTTTCCCTGTCCTCTAGAATATGAAATGACGGTAGTCACTGAGTGAAAGACGTTGTTTTCCAAGGCTCTCGGTAAATTCAGCTCGTTCCCCTTTGCGGTGGGGCGGGGGGGGGGGGGGGGTCTGATTGGGCCACAATTTTGATGTTATCTCATCGCTGCCTCCCAGGCTGCTGTTCTCAAACATTTCTTTGCCTTTTCACTAAGCAGAGGGAGTAGTTATGCAAGAGTGCATTTAATGCAACATTTACTGAAAAAAAAACATTTTCAAATACCATCTTGAACTATGCTAAAGTGAGTAAAATCTGTAATTCTTTCATTGGAGCATTAAAATGCAAAAGAAAAATGCTGTACTTTAAAGCACACGGGCGAAACATTAAATTACATTTAATATGGGAAAACTGATATTTGTCATTATAATCCAACCGGAAAATGACGATTTTATGGGTGTCTTAAGTGGGAAAATGGCAAAACTTCTGTGGCCTGTTCTGGCAGAGGATTTACCATACAGGTAACTAGCGCCCCCTCCTGTTCCCTATTCGATACACATGAGCAGTCATTGACTGGCCGAACCTCAGACACACTTAGATAATAAGGT